CGAAATAGTTTCTGAATACGACGAAATAGTTTCTGAATACGACGAAAAGAGTTTCTGAATACGACGAAATAGTTTCTGAATACAAGAGTTTCTGAATACAACGAAATAGTTTCTGAATACAACGAAATAGTTTCTGAAGACTAGTTTCTGAATACAGTGCAGTTTCTGAATCCGACTTTGTTCAAAGGAAGAGTGGAGTCACAGCTTGATAGAACGGCAGGTACGCAGGGCTGATCGGGCCCTGCTTCCCACTCCCGCCCACAGCTTCGTTGCGTGTGGTAGGGCGGGAGTGCTACACGCCCCTGCCTGTGTAAAGTGGAAAGAGTGGTGGTGAAAGACCCTTTGTCCAGGGTGGGACACACACACACACTTGGGAAGCTCGGACGGAGCTTACTGCATTGGAATGGCTGAGATCATCATGCCATACGACTGTTTCTGCATCACTGCTGAACGGAGGCATATGGATCCGCGGCCCAATCCGCTTCACGGAGCATCCACAGCTGTCTTCGTTGGTTTGCAGAACTGCGGACTCCCTGCTGCCCCCTGGTTCTTTAATTACGACTGTGTCGAAAGTCCAAAGCCCTTAGAAGCATGGTTTGACACATGACACGCATGATCCAAGTACGAGGTCTTGTCCGTTGACACAGCTATCGCATTCGCTCTGGATTTAACGCCCTCGCCTGCTCGCACCAGGAGACCCTCCTTCTCCCCACCGATGATGCGCCACATGGCTCCATGCGGCGAAGGTCCGACTTCGAGCGACCCCCCAAGCGGGCCAAGCGGCGGAGGGGAGAACCCCCCACCAGATGGTCAACCTGAATCTGGAGACTGTATGGCTACAAGCTCGAAAGTCAAAGGAGCACGTGCATCCGCAAAGTGAAATTCAATGAGCATCCGCAAAGTTTGATCACTGTGTTCCTCCTTATTGCAATTGAATATACTAGCCACATGCTAGCCACCGGCAGTAGGTACTTCTGCACTGTCTCCTGGTTGCACTGTCTCAGGCTTGAAGCCTACACGCTGCTCCAGTCAAACTTTTCCTGAGTGAAGAGAACTAAAACAATCATCAAACAGAAGACAATGCTACTTAAGATGTGAGATCCGTTCAGGGATGAACGGAATTCCACTTCAAGTCAACATAAGCCAACATGAATCATAAAGCTTAACTTTGAAGGACATCACAAAAGGTTTGACTGATATGCATCAGTAACAGTGGATGATGATGGTTAGTAAAGGCCTTGTTAAACAATAGTGATAATGTGTGCTCATTGTTTACAGACTGTTACAGGTAATAGGACCCCCAAAGATATAATTATTGAAACACAAACCCTAAGTCATTGGCGGTGAGAATTGTACTCAAACATTGCCGGCGACTTCAGCACCAAATGGATAAGATAAGATAAATAATGTGTAATGTGACCGTAACCAAGTACAAACATTCTGACCCTACAAAGTTACTACCGTAACATACTGCAACTTGACGTCAGACATTTTCTTGCTCCTCCCCGCACAAAAATACACTGAGCAACCTTGGTTTCGCACAGCGAACAAATTCATTCCTTTCTTCCCAGATAAAAGGTTTCATGTTCAGCTCTGAAGGAATTGAGCGAGGCATGTCAGGTGATATGCATCGATCTGCCGTGTTTTCTCGTTCTGAAGACACCCTGCAGCGGGATTTTGGCGATGGGCACCCCGACGGAGTGACCGGTGACTCCACGGTCTGGGCCGGGAAGATCGGGAAAAAAACCAGCTAGACTTGCTAACCGAAACTGAGGCTTAACAGGGCAGCTTAAAAGGACTTGAATATGATTGGATGATGGTGTTTGAATGTTTTTGGATTGTTTTTGGATGGAGTTGACAACTTGCAAACTACTGTTGTGAGCTCTCAAGCGTGCCCGGTTGACTCGCATCTTCACTCCCAAGCACAAACTGGCTTTGCATCAAGGACCAGTCAATCACAACCCCAACCTTGTATTTGCTGGGTGTCACTGTCTGACTGACTGACTGACTGACTGACTGACTGACTGATGCGTCAGACCCTTTTGAGAGTTTAACAACTGACTCCCTCATTTTTTCTGGAAATCATGGTCAACCCTTTTCTACCTGTTCTATCCATGGTGGAGAAACCAACCCCTAACAAAAAGGTTGTCCAGGTTGTCATAGGTTGTCCAATGTTGTCCACTGTTGCTGGGTGACAAGTTGGCCTGATACCTCCATCTTCGATTTCAACGGCAAACGGCCGGCTCGGCAGCGTTGGATTGATGGGTTGTGTGTAAGGTTCAATGCTTTCCTGGGATGGTAAGATCCTATCCTGATCTGGTCCAATCCACTACCATGTTTGAAGAATGGTTCAGGTCACTGAACAGTTCATAGTGGGAAGATTGTTCAGCAGAAAACATGTGGCCGAAAACAGTTTGAGTTTCTCCTTCCTGCAAAGAGGTTGTAGGGAAGCCTGCAGGAGTCTGGCCATTTATATAGCCCAGCACTAAATCAAATGCAAACCAAAACACAAAAAAACATAAAAAACAAAAAACTGGGTGGTTTGTTCCTCCTCTTCAAGTCAGTTTACTCCCTGATCATACCTACTGATCCACTCCTTCCATACTCGTGACACTGGCCATCCACTTTCCCACGTCCCGCCGCCTCCAGTGACTCGAGCGATCCTGCCCAACGTGCAAAGCTTGCGGCAGAAAAGAACGACACATCAGGAAAACGAGACAACTAGCTCAAGTGTATTCGAGTGTCGAGACGCCACTTGGACTCCCTTCGAACTTGTGGCCCCTCTTCTCTTTTTGCCATCGTGGCCCCTCGAATCATCACCCTCTCAATCATCTTACAGAGTGTTGGCTCCAACCAATGCCAACCACAACTGAAAACCACACGTTTGACCTTCGGATACCTGAGAGTCAACGCCTTGACCTTTGGTCAACAGGTTGCTTTCAGGATCTTTCAGGCGTGTCACATGCTATCCCTGATATATTTTGCCATTTAAACGGAATCAAAGGTTCAACTTCACTCAACGCTAGTTTCATCTAGTTTCCTTTTCCTCCACAAACACCTCCTCCACAGGAAGGGATTCCATGATGGAACTGATGTTGAGGGCCGGGCAACTCACTCGTCATGTTTCTTGTCGACATTCCCTTTGAATTGTCGACATTACATTTTAAGCGAGAGACTTGCCCACACCATGGTTTCAGAGCTGTAATACTTCTTGAATCACTGTGTTGAGGATATTGGCATGATTTCTATTCTAGGTATCTTGATGATCTTGATGATCTTGCTGTCTCCTTGAACATGTTTGATTGTAAAAAATAATTCCCTAAGACTCAAGGACCCTCAAAGGTGAAGGTTTCGTTCGGGTCCAAACCCCTGCGCTCTGCAGGGTCAAACGCCTCCAGAAGTGGTCCAATGATTTTTAGGGTGCTGGATTTTTTGCACAACCAACCACGTTCCACCACCAACCCCCTTTCCACGGACCGCCTCGTGACCGCCCCGCCGAGCTCGTCGGTCGCGAGGCGCGCGAGGTCGTGACCTGCACGGCGACCGAACCGCATGGCATGTCTCGTAGCTCGGTTTACTCAGGGTTCATATAGCTTCTTGTTACTACTAGTAAGGCACTTGTTACTACTAGCGATGCACTTGTTCCTAATAGCTTCTTGTTACTACTAGTGTGGGTTATATAATTGAAAGGTTCCTATAGTCCCTAAAGTTACACTGACAGTCGCTGACCAGGGTACAAATGTAATGTCTTAGGGTAAAGATAGTAAAGTGTTTGACGATGTTTGACACCATTCATGTAGCATTTACTTTTCCAATCAAATCTAAGAGACTCGAATCAATTCTTTCAGAAGCAAACATGTATACATGTATGAAAGAAAATTGGACTCTTCGGGTCAGGGGCAGGAACATGTGATTTTCTTGATTTTTTCATTAGATCTGACACGATCTGACGTTTGGAGATGGTTTTTTCATGCTTGTTTCCCTCTCACTCCACTGTGGTCCACCACTGGTCCATCCAGCCGGCCGAACCAAGAACCTCCGGGCGGCCGCACCGACTTCATTGACTTCATCGAGGAGTTCGAAACGACTCCTGGCTCAGTCGAGGCGTTTGGAATCGGTACAGGTGATGCCAACGGTATTTCCTGCGGAGACACGGTGTTTCCCGTGTCTGATTGGTGCGACGAAAGTAGGGAATGAGGGTGGCTCGATTGGGGGCGCATTCCCTCATTCCCTGCTGGCCTACCAAGCACCAGCCTGATGAACTGCATTTTTGTTCAAAAAATTGAATCGTTGCCCCATGCCGAGCAAATCTCGATCTAATCTAGCCTTTCATGATGAAGCCAATCTCCCTCACATCGCAGGATTCCCGCGGGAAACAACTGTTTCTTTTAGACGTTCGTGGATGCAAACCTGACGATAAACCAATTTGCACTGAACAGATCTAGACAATATGAACTGCAATCCGACACAATTTGGAGATCCTCTTCACCTCTTGGGTGGTCTGCGCTTTAAAACCACTCTCAAAACTTTAGAAGTACCTCCTCTGGAAAAGACCTCACCGCACACCATACACACGCAATTTGATTTGGGCCAACACTCCAATGTTTCGGAATGTTTGCAGTGTTTTGTGTTCACATGACCCCAGCAAAACCATCGGTGGGTTATAGTGATGGGTTGTTAGGTGGTTGGCAAGTAGAACAGTACGCGATGCTCCAAGCCGACTCCTTCCCATGTGAGAATGTGGCGCACGGTTTCAGTTTTCATCAAAAACCTGAGTGCCATGAGCTCAGCGAGCAGCATCACCGCATCAGCACGCTCTGCAGATCGCAGGGCAGTTTCAAACGTAACCCCAAATTACGTGGCGAACCATGTCACGTTCTGGCCAACCGGCAGGCTCAGATGATTGAAAAGGTTTGTGGGCGCTGTTGTTGCAAGCTTCTTTGTTTTCCTTTCCTCCTTGGCCTTGCTTGGCGCGGCCAATTTAGTTGATCTGCCTCCTAGCTTCTCTTGGCTTGACCGCCGTTTCATTTGGACCTATTGACGCCTTCAATGATTCAACGTGGCTCATAGCTTTTGCTGGGGAAACTGGTTCAGTATTCAATGAGCCCTGCTACTAGTACTGCTGTTGCAAGTTGCAGCCACTGCTCAGCAGCGCCGATGCCGCCGCACAACAGCTGCGACAGCAGTGGCCGCACAACAGCTGCGCGGCAGAACCTTTGGACCATGAAAGCCTGTGGCTACAAAAGCGTGGTGGTTCTGGGCTGCTGAAGTACATGACGTTGCGCCTTTGCAACTCAGAGGTTGTGGTGGTTCTGTCCAAGAGTGGGTGTATCTCCCCAGTTTTTTGCACTTCTTCATCATGTGCTCAGCTGGCAGATTTGGTAACCCTCAGGCTCCTCAAAGAACAAGACAACATTCCTCATGTTTTGTCACTGCTGCTGCGGGTAAGATGACAGCGATTGTGACAGCAGTAGTTCAATGAAACGAGCAGCTCCCCAAAATCTGAACCATGTGGACTTTTGCTACTTTTAAGCTTCCACCCCTTTGAAGCTTCCACCCCTTGGAGCGGCCTCTGATGACAAATTCGGTCACCTTCACCTTTGAAGCACCCACACGTTGACTTGGAACTTGGGCCCTGTGAGCCCCTGACTTCGCCGCTGACACGCCGCTCTGCTGCTGCGAAAGGCGTCCTCGTGGTGAAATGGATCCGCCTGGCTGACGTCCGCTTGTTTTGCTCACGCAAAACAAAACGGACATACAATACAGCGGCCCATCAAGAAACATCGCCATTCCATTGCAAACGTGAGCAACAAACACCATTAATAGCAAACAGCTTCT